CTGGCGCAAGGCCCCCCGTTTACCGGTCGTGCGCTTGCCCGCCCGGGATTCCCCCGGTGGCCTTGAGTTTCGCCTCCGCCAGCAGCCTGGCCGCCTCCGCGCGCTTTCCGCCGCCGCCGCTAGCAAACGCCGCCTTTGCATCCTGCGTGCTGAGCGCCCCTAGCGCCCGCTTCATGTCCTCCGTGGCGTTGCGGATGTTGCTCGCCTCCCCGGCCGCGCCGTCCTCATCCTGATCGTCCAACGTCAGCTGCCGCTTGACTGCCGAGCGACACAGCGGCCAGGTAGGGTAAAAGGTAGGGTAGGGCAAGGTAAGGTAGGGTAAGGTAGGGTAGGGTAGGGCAAGGTAAGGTAGGGTAGGTTAGAGCAGGGTAGGGTAGGGTAGAGCAAGGTAGGGCAAGGTAAGGTAGGGTAGGGTAGGGCAAGGTAAGGTAAGGTAGGGTAGGGTAGGGTAAGGTAGGGTAGGCACCAACAAAGCACCCGACGGGTGGGTGAACGCGGGCGGGACCCACAACCCGCTGAGATGTCAGTAATGAGATACAAAACGAGATCCAGGGGTCCAAACTGTATAATAACAACAAACTGTATAATAACAACAAACTGTATAATAACAACAAACTGTATAATAACAACAAACTGTATAATAACAACAAACTGTAATAACGGCGACATATAGAGAAACCCATAGGCCAGGAAAAGCCGGCTTTCCCCCCCTCTCGAGGGGAGGACGGCACCGCACCCGACCGCACCGCACCGCACCGTGGTCGAACTGGTCGATGGTTCGGCCGCTGAGGTTCAGGGGGTCCTGGATGTGGAGGATGTCCTTGCGGGTGAAGGGCTCATCAGTGAGCAGGTCCTTCCAGCTGCGCGGCTTCACACACAGCTCCTCCACCGCCTCCCAGCAGTACACATTCCCGGTAGTGCGGATCGCCACTATGTGGGTGTGTTCCGTGAAGACCTGGGGGAGGTGTGGGAAGTAGGAGGGAGGGAGGGGGGGGCCGGGGGAGGGGAGGGGGAGGGGGGGTAGAGAGGGGGAGAGCCAGGCGTATTATACATTACATCAAGCAGGGGATCATATGCGAGAAAGAATGAAGTGAACGAGAGAGGGGTAGGATAGTAAAAGGGGGGAAGCGGGGAAAGGGAAAAAGGGGAGGAGGGGTATAAGATAAGATAAGTAAGCTCCAGAACCAGACCTGGATAGCCGTATTTCCACTTCCCTAAACGAAAAGCCCTTGCAGAGGTCTCACCCGCCTTCGCTTCCCGCGGGTGGCTTTACGTGCCGGGACCCTGAACCGTCGGGCTTCTCCCCTCCCCTTCCCTCCCCTCTCGGCATGTGTTTGGCCCCCTCCCCCCTTTTGGCATGTGTTTTCCCGCGCCCTGTGCTGCACAGACAAGAGGAATGGTCCAATGGTTCGGGTTGTTCTGTTTTCCGTTTTGTCAGCTTCTTGCCTTTCCCATGACGGGGCAGGTAAACTCGCCGTCGCCATTCTTAGAGAAGTTGAGGCGCGTCAGGTCCTTGAGCTGCAGCGGCTCGCCTGTGACGGGATGCTTTTTGTATTTCATGATGTACGGCACGATTGCCGTGATGTCGTACACTGTGCCATCATCTGTGCAGACCGGGTCTTCGAAGGGCGTAAAGTTAATGGCGCAACAGTGGAAGGGCAGGCGCTTGAAGGGCGCCGCGCCCTTGCCCCCCTTGAATCCGCCTGCGCGATGCAAGATGGATGCAAGGGGCCGAGTTGGTCAAGGAAGACCAAGGTAGAGGGTACTAAAGTTAAGGGAACCAGGCGCCATCAGATGCATGAAATGAATTGTGAGTTCCGTGCACACCACCAAAGCAAGCCATCTCTTGTCAGCGACCAACGGGTCAACTTGCAAGAGTGGCTTTGCAGGGCTTTTAATTGCTATGTGCAATATCTCTAACCTTAAACAACCTTCAAACAAGCATAAATCGGCCTCGGCGTGTGATGAAGGACATACATGACATAAGACGCAAGGATCTTAGCTGTTTCCAAAATTAACGCAAAGTGTGGAAGGCTTCATTTTAAATATTACAACGTACAACAACCATCGCCTTCATGGCCCAATTCAAGGGAGATGTTTCTCACACAGAATTAAACACTCACCCCACTCCTCCTTCCATTCCTTTGTAGTAAGGAATAGTCGATCCTTCTGATGCTGCTTTTTACCCATATTCCAAGAGAGTCCCGTTAATACTCAAGGAATTGATATCTGTGGGCTGCAAACAATAGGGTGGCGTTATGCTTAAGGCGATATGTACAATCACATTAGAAAGCGGCATCAGATAACTCGGCAATGAGAATAACGGTTCGCGTGATGTCATTGGTAGGTCAGCTTCCCAAAAACAGCTCGTTGTACGGAATTGTCCGTATACTGGCCAGACAGTTGCAAATCGGGCAGAGTTCCGCCCAGACTTCCACGGCGTCACTTTCCTGTTCAGCCAACTCGCGAACCAGCATATCCAGGTGATAGGTATAAAAGACCAAACCCAGGTATAACCAGTTACTATTGACCAGATAGCAACAGCAACTACAGGCCGGGTGCGCTGTCTGCCAAAGCGCGTAATTGTTCTACTGGACCTGGCTGGCAATAACTAAGGCCGAGCTGCCAGATCGAAGCGAGAGGCGCCCTGATAACCCGGATTCCCCCGTTGTGCAACAAGCATGGGGCAAGGTATGAGTAGCGAATTAATTCACTTGCGCTACTTGGCCGAATCTGTAAGCTGTTGTGCAACAGATCTTTTGCAGGCGAATTCGGGTCAAGTCGCCGCAGGTGACAAAATTCGCCTCCTAAGACGAAATTCTTTTGTCCTTGCTTATTCCACGTCTTTCCTTAGACTAAACGAAAACAACTCAAAAATAGCTCCTATTTAAAGTTTTTTTGGATGATTAATGCATGCATGGATGGATGGGTGAATAACAATTTTGACTTAACTTACAAATGAGTCCGACCACATCGCAGGTAGCGTATTGTCGCTGTCCGCACCCACCTCAACGCTGTCGCCATGTGTGACCCAGCCAAATTCAGTTCGCCTTTGGTGGGCTTCGCGTTGGCCCCGCGAAAGTGCCCCCTTATCGAATATTGCTCGTGGGCCATACCAACCCCTAACCACCCTAAAACCCTAAGAGACAGGAACCCTCGGTCGTCGGTCCCTTCAACAGTGATTCACCACAACAGGTCACTCTGGAACACACACACCACAAAGTACTCACCAAAGGAGTCTATCTGAAGGATCTATGTTCAGAAACTCTTTTAGAAATTCCCTGTAAGCTGAATACAAAGCTGCCATCAAAAAAAGTTGCCGTTATCAGGAATTGGCTGAAATCGCAAGACTTGATGATGGCACGGCAGCTGGCACGGCCAGCCGCCAATTATTTTAAAACTCATGCCATGTTAGGTCTTATTAAAAATTTTGAACAGGTCAAGATAGGTACTGAGTAGATGGTGTATGGATCCAAGAAAAATCAGATTCGAATTCAAATACGGTGTTTAGTTTCATTTTTCTTGTTTCAACGAGACGCAATCGGCCCATCTGCAAGCATACTGTAATTAAACAGAAGACCATTCCTTAAAAATAAACGTTTTCCATTCTTTGACCATCCTTTAAAAATAAACGTTTTCAACTGCTGTTTCACACTAGGCAAGCTGGGCGCAAGGTCCCATAGGAACCAATCCCCCACCTTCCTCCTCGCCTTTCCTCTGAAAAGGTGGTTAAAAAGGGGTCGCTGCGAACGCTGTGCGCCGCTGGTTACACAAACGACTGTTGTCAAACTCGAGCTGTCTGAGACCGTCGTGGCATCATCCTCACAATGCGTTGCTCCAACATCCCGTACAGTCGCAGTACAGCCCGCTGGGCCTCTTCCTGATCGGCCCCATGGCAGTTGCTGCTGCCTTCGCCTACGCCGCCAGCTGCATTGGCCGCTGCTGCGGCGGCTGCGCCGACACTGTCGTACGGCCCCAGCAAACGCGGCAGTGCCCAAAGCGCCTTGGCGGCTGTCTGCTGGCCGAACTCGCCTAGCAACTCCTCCCCGCGCGCCACCGCCGCCATCAGCCATGCAGCCCCCGGCCTCAACCCCAGAAGTGCAAGCGCAAACAAAACGTTTGCAAGGTTGCAATACGACATGTCGTACATCCGTACGGCGCATCCCGCAAGGAAAGCTTCCGTCCAGCCGGGCGACAGGCACTCGGGTCGCGACCCGGTGGGCGGATCCATCTTCGCGATGCCCCAAATGAGCCGTTCGAGTGACATGGCGTCGAAGTCGTCGAAGTTTGATTTGGCGGCGGCGCCATACAGAGCCGAGAACCACTCCTGGCAAGGCGTCCGCTCCAGCATGCCGTACGAGTACGACAATTGCGACAGCCCCGCGGCGGTCTGCTCGTCCATGCGCGCCAACGTCACCACCTCGTGACCAGAAAGCCAACGCGCACTAGGTGCTTGACCCAGCGAGATGCAGCTTCTCAGTAGCAGCACGAGGTGTCGCGCTTGCAGTACAGGTAGACGCTTGTACGACACGGCCCTTGCCGTACATATACGTTGAGCAGCACAGTACATACAAAACACAGCGCAATGACGAGGGCACGTGGGCATATGCAGACGAGACGTGAGGAAATCAACAACGGAAAAAAATGAACTCTGGATTGCTTTTAAACATGAACACAAAAAACGATAAACATTTCGCAGCAAAACATTACATAACCAAACGGACATCAGACTACTTTCAACATGCGATGCAGGTGCTGCTGGTGCTGCATTTGCCATGTACCAAAGCCCCAGATAATGACGACGGCACGGTACATACATGCTCCCCTACTGCCCCTCTCAGCCCCGTTCCACTTCCCCCCGCCCCCACATCCTCCTCCTCCTCCATCTCCTCACCCTTGTCCACTCCCGCCCTCTTAAAGCACCAACCCCCAACCCAACCTTCCTCCTCATCGTCTCCCTTAACCCCAGCCCCGCTCTTGCAGCGGTAAAACCCCACCACACGCCGAACCCCTACACTCCCAACCCAGTCCAAGCCCCCGCCAGAGACCCACCAGAACTCCTCCATCCACGCCTCCTCCGGCACCGCGCCGCACTTGGACAGCCCCCACAGCAGCATCACCAAATCGGGCGGTGAGAAGGAGCGCAGAGGCTGCTCCCAGGCCGCCACGAGCAACAAGTCCACCCAGCGCCGATTGGGGCGGATACTGGCCGGCAGTGGAAGGGAAAGACGAACCGCACACGTGGAAGGGCAGTGGAAGGGAAAGACGGGGTTTACACAAAGCAGGAGCCCCAAAAAGCAGAGGTTAAAAGAGAACAACGACGATAACTGAAGGTTAGTTACACCACCAACGACCGGTGCAGAACTTAGAAGCAATGCTGCGCGAGAGAGTGCATCTACTATCAAGTGACGCTGTAGCAGCAGCATCACTAGCTGGTTGTAGTGGTTGTGGTGGTTGTGGTGGTGCTGCTGCTACAGCTGCTGTTTCTACCATGTCGTACACTCACCCCAGCGTCGCCAGGCCCCACATCATCGTCGTTAGCGATGTCGATTCCGCTTCCAGCAGCCGTACGTACGTCAAACTCAACCAGTGCCGTAACCAATCTGCCGGCGGCATAAGGCCCAAACTTGCCAGGCACCACAACATGCGCGCCGCGTGCTCAGGTGCAGCTGACGGCAGTTGGCTGTAGCTGGCGCTCAAAAAGCCCGCCAACCAGTCGCGATCCGGTGCAAAGCCCAGCCGCAGTAAGGCCCACGACGAAATCGACAGGTCGTACGACGAAAATGCGGGCATCAACCGCAAGCAAGCTGCGCCAACCGTCGCGACCCAGGAGCTGGACGGCCGGTACGACAGCACCGTCAGACCCCACAATGTGTTGGACAGGCCCGACGCCATGAAGTACGGCAGTTGCCGTAGCACTTCCGTACAAAAGGCTCGCATGAACGGTGCCTGTGGCTGATAGCCCAGACGAGCTAAGCCCCAAATTATCTGACTCAACCCCTGGCTGGTGAACCGCAGCGGTGGCAGCGCCGTCGCGGCGGCAGTAGCAGCGCCGTCGCCATTCCTGCTGCCGCCATCCCCGTACGGCCTGACGTCCAGGCCATTTCTACCGGCGCCGTGCCCGGCGGCGGCAGCCGCAGGCATGTACGACGCGGCCGCGGCGCACAGCCTGCCCATCCACATCCCGCCGGGGTCGTACTCTAGCTGCGCCAGTGCATACACGCTGTTAGCTAGCTCTTGGGGCCCGAACTCCTGGAGGAGGAGCCGGTGCTCCGAAACCGCCAGCCAGGAGGTCATCCAGGCAGCCGGCGGCGTGCAGCGAAGTACGGCAAGCGAGTACAGCACTCCCGCCAGCGGGACAGGACCCATGGAGGACAAGTAGTGCCTGCACGTCGTACAGTACGGCGTGATCAGTACCTCATCCGACGTGGTACGACGGGGAGCTAAGTGTTTGGTGTGGCTAAGAGGGAAGCTGTAAGAGTAAAGAGGACTACATGGTTGAAATAATGACCCATGGGTCGGAACACCAACCACCACCAAGCCGCGCAACGCCCACTGTTACGACTGGAAACGTCGCACCCCATCAACCTCTTCCCCCCCCTGTCCCCCTCCCCCTTTCCAGCCCCTACCCGCACAGCTCAGTAAAACCCGTCATGAAGACACGAAACCGTGCCTGCTCCCGAGCCACCCGGCGACCTGGCTGCGGCGCAACGGCCCGCAGACGCCGCGCCGCCACCAGCAAGTGCACCTCATCCAGTACGGTGCCGTGCAATGCCAGAAGCTCCCGTACCTCCCGCCACGTCACGGCGTCGCCTAGCTGTCGATTTAGGGCCTTACGTGAAGCAAAGTTGACAGATGTTTTGGATCCATCGTCCGGGGGGCCCCCGTCTAGAGAAGTCGCCGCCAGTACGACATCGCCTCTAATGGCGGCGGCGGAGCCGACGGCGGCTGTTGCCGACACGGCCTCCGCCTCCGCCGCCGCTGCTGTGGCAGCTGCTACTGCGGCTGTAGCAGCTGCGACGTTATCAGCACGTGCTAACGTGTCAGTTGCCGGGACGTACGACCCATGTGTCGTATTAGCAACCGCTTCAGTTGTAGCTTCGAATAATAACCCCGCTGCTGCTGCTTCTACTGCGACTGCTGTGATCGGCTGTCCAGCGATTGCTGCGGAAACCTCTGCTGCTGCTGCTGCCATGGGACCGCCGTCTGGTTCTCCGCCACTGCCAACGCCACCTCGGTGCCAAGCGCCTGTGCGCGATACTCCGCCAGGGGGGGAAGCTGCACCCTCCACTGCTACTGCCACTGCTACTGCTGGGGACCCTTCCAGCGTCACGTCGTGTCCGTGCTCTGCCGTTGTTACTGCTGCTGCCGTTGCGCGGCGGCCTGGCTCGGACCCCGCTCCCCCCAGAGTCCCCGCCCGCGCTGCAAACTCCTCGTCGATACACACCCTCACAGCTCCAACCCCTGAATGTGTACGTGTTAACCCCCCTGACCCCTCTTCCTTGCCGAGGGGGGTTCCCCCCTCCTCCCTCTCCCCCTCCCCCTTCTGGGACGGACAGCGATACACGCCCCCAGCACCAACAGCACTAGCAAGTTCCACAGCGGTAGCTGTAGCAGTAGTTGTGGCTGTAGCTGTACTACTACTGCCGCAGTGCCCTCCCGGTGGCTCCGGGGTCTGTACGGTGTACGGAGTAACGGTGGGGAGATGCACAGAGAAACCCTCCCCCAGCTCAATCGCGACAGTTGACATGCCGTACGACGGTTGTTGTTGTTGTAGTATGGGTGTTTTTGGATGTCCGTGTAATAGTACGGCAGGTGGTGTGCTAGTTGAGGCATGCGCCGGATGGCTGACGGCTGTGGCGGCGCGCCCGGGTAAGCTGCTGCTGCTGTTGCTGCTGCTACCGGTGGTGGTGGCGCCGCCGCCAAGGCCGCCATGGGCAGCGGTGCTGGCGGCGGAGGGCTCTGAAGATGCGTTTGCGGTGGCTGGGCTGGCGGCGGCCGCGGCCGCCGAGGAGATGGCTTCTTTCTGCAGCGCGCGGAGGCCTTGAGGATCATTATGTTGAGAAGACAAACGCTGGAGTGCGGAGGTTGATTGAGCGATGCCAAGGTCAGCGGACAAGGTGTGGAGAGCACCTGCCGGAGGAGATGGCGATGGAATGCGACGCTCCGATGCCCGTGTGTGGGGTCTTGAAGACTTCAGCGCATGTTCCGCTACGGTCCGAGAGAAATAGTGCCGTGCTCTGATGCCTTTTGTTGCGCCAGCAAGATACAGCCCGACGGTTGGGCAATGAGGTGCAAAGACCCGCCCCGAAGGCCCGGCATTGTAGTGCGAAGCGATTCTCGATTCCATGCTTTTGTCTGTGTCACCGGAAATCGTTTTGCTGCTGGTGCTTCTTGCTTGGTGGAGCTCCAAGCTCCGGCAAAGTGGCTGCGAGATTTAGACGGTCCAAACTTGCGGCCATTCAGGTAACCGTATTGATGCAAATGGCTATTTTTGAGGTCCAGCAACCTGAGATTGGCTCCGCAAATGGCGACTTTTGCGTCCGTTCCGCACATGCAGCAACATACTGCATCATCTGAACATAATAATAGTTATGAATGGTGCTAATGAAGCGCTTATTTCAAGGGAAGTTATTACATGGCTAAGGTAGTAGTCCTGAAGTCACTCCCATTATTTTTTAAAAACATAAACATGACGACGATGTGCCTGTTTAACGGTGAGGTAACAGTCACAACTAGTAAGCCACTTCTTCCCTTGCGCTGCTTTCTTAGGGTTTGCGGTCGCTGAGCGTGTGCTGTCCAACCCGCCTGGGCCTTACTTGCTTGGCGAACATGTAGCGATAACGCCTGACAACCCTGGAGGCATGATAATCTTCCATTGTATGAAGGTATCATGCGCAAAGGCATAATCACCGGCATCTATGGCACGCCGTAGCCAAGAGCATACGACGACGCTACTAGCGCGAAATTGTACGGCAGTACGTGACCACTATCGTTGCAAGAAGCATTAAATAGACGCTCATACATCTAAGTGATAAAGTACGACTAGTATTTTCAGCTATAATATAACAGGAAATTGCTGCATTCCTGGCGCCCACCATACGAAAGTCGTAGCCTGTAATGTAATTGGCGTAATGTTTTAACCAGGAACTAACGGAAATTTTCTCCCTACCTGAAGCATGAATTACATGAGGTTATTTTAACATTTCCGTTGCTTAATGTCCCTATAGCGGCGCATTGGCTTTCGTCTGTTTGGCGGCATCCCTCGCTTGGACAAGAGGATGCGAAATAAACCTCGTGGAGTTTGTATCGCAGCATTTTGTCTGGTGCTCATTTTCCCGTATTACTACCTGATAGCGGGTGCCAATCCACCGGCTGTTCTGCTGCGCGATGGGGCAACGCTTCAAGAGGATTGGAGAGATCTGCTTATGGCGATGATTCCTGGTAAGCGAACCGCCTGCCTTTCTTGCATCCGTTGCTTACCCCGCTTCCTTTTGTAAGTAGTTTAAAACGGTTGACAGGGCGCACTCTTCCGCGCTAGTCGATTTATTGCTCTAAACGTCTCCAAGGAGTCCGATAAGACTGCTGATTGCATGGCGACAGCGTAAGGAGGTTCGCACCCATGGCGTTGGTTCATAGCGGAAATCATCCAAGCTGCAAACTGCTATAATTTGTATTACAAGCGTTGGAAAGGGCTCGGCAAGCGAAAGTTTTAAAGCTACCTCGCGCCCCTGTAAAGGTGAACAGTGCGCTTCGGATAGGAACCTTGTCTGTGCGTCGGTGCTTAGCTGGGCGGTTTCATACATCCACTCAAGCGCGGTTGCAACAAGGTTTGCATATGAATAGAAGCTACCAATTGCTTTCGTTACGGTAATTCGAAATCGCAGGACTGAGCTTTTGCGTGCCTTCTGAGAAACCGGTGGTTTGCCATTTGGAGTCGGTTCTCTCGCCGTAGGCTGCGTGCAACGCGAATAGCGATAACGCCTCAGACGGCTTTACTGGCCAGCGACGAAACTCCGAGAAGTATAATCGCCTCATAACCGTCTTCTCATGTCGACAAACACTTCGCGTCCTAATTAAGAAAAACGCTTGCAAGTTTGGATCGACGACCGAAAGAGTTACATTAGGTCAGTCGCATACCGGCAGAAGCAACGTCAGGACGGCTACTGCTGCGCTTCGCGACAACCGGACGAATTCCGCAAAGTAAATCTTTATAAGTTTAGGAAGAAGCCTTCAGATCAATTCAGATTTAAGAATGAGTCCTGTTATCAGCTTGACTAGAAGGATCGCCGGCGACAATGCCTCGTCAGTGCAGTTGGTCTTCTTCGCAGCTCTTCGCCAAACCTTACAACTACCTACCTAGCCTTCCCGCCCGACCCCACGCAACGGCCAAACCACAAATACAATCTCCTCTGTGGCGCCGAACCAGCCCTTTTTCAAAACTGTTAATTTGTGCCATTTTGGCTCACGTATTTTGTCTGTCAGCAGTCCGTACGGTGCTAAAACAGAGCGGTCCACCGCCCACGGACAGATACTGGCTGGCTGGAACGAATCTCCGCAAGTCAGCACAAGTTGTCACAAGTCATCACGCAGCGGGTACCTCTCCTACTCTCTCTCTCTCTCTAACTCTCTCTCTCTTTCTTCTCTAACTCTCTCTGTCTCTCTTTCTTTTCCTCTCCTTCCTCACTCTTTCTCTCTTCCTCTGTGTGTAGCTCTGTAGCCCCTCCGCCCGACCTGTCCTTATCTACAAAAAAAGGAAGGTTTATTGCTCTCAGTCCTGCCGTGTTGCGTTACAGTAGCTAGGCCGCCAACGGCAAGCGCAACTCGATAGCAAAACAACCCGGCTGTGAAACTCATCACCTCCCAACACCAACCCATTGTGAAAGTTGCACTAGTGGCCGATAGTAATGACAGCAATGACCTGTGTTGCACCGTTAATGAATCCTACCACCTCAAGCCCCCCGACAGGAGCCACGCGGGCGACCCACCCGTGGCCATCAGTGACAAAACCAGGGACCGCTGCATTGTGGCAACCCCCCGGGATTGCCCGGGGTGGGTGGGGGGAACGACGAGGCACAGACGATTGACGAGAGAACGCACATAGACGGGTACTCCAAGATTAAACCAATAACAAAGGACAATTAGTAAGATACCCGACCCGTGGATGGGTGGGGTGAAACAGAGGACACTGTCTCAGCAGCGGGACACACCTCTTGGTAGGTAAGAGTCAAGACAACGGCAGTTAAAGAACCAATGCGCCTGTGGGACCCATGTAGGAGCTCTGTGTGCTTCCCTCTTGCCGTACTGTGGTCCGGCACATGCATGCATGCATGCGCCCTACTTCCACGCACCACGGCAGCTCCCCTTCGCAATAACTACTTGCCTATCTCTACACTCATGCTTCGCTTCGAGAAGTCGAAGCATATTTCCCCCCCAACCCCAGCAATGCGTAAAGGTGGCAAATGACATCGGCTCTCCCTCTCCACTGCACTTGTGCCGCCCACAAACCCTCTACCTGCTCCATGGAGCCCCCGCCCCCGCCGCCACCGCCACCGCCACCGCCGCCGCCGCTGCTACAGCCACGTCACGCCACGCCTTAAATATTTCAGCAAGATATAAGAGAATACTTGCGTGGCAGGACTCCGCGCCGCCATAGCTGCTACGGCGCTTCTCTACCACCATAACGACCACCATAACGACCACCATAACGACCACTATAACGACCACCATAACATCACCGTCATAACCCCTTTCCTTCGCTAGTTCAGGACTTCACCTGCACCTGCACCTGCACCTGCACCTGCACCTGCACCTGCACCTGCACCTGCACGCCGCATCACGTCGCGCCGCAGCATGCGGGCACCAAATGCAACCGGGCGCTTGGGGTTTTTCTTTCCTCCGTGGGAAATCCCCTTCGCTATCTTTCCGATCCGTGCCCCCCCGCCATGCGTGTGTCTGTATGTGTTTACCCGGCCCTCAACGCCCGTTCCCGCAACCTCCCTGGCGTTTCGGTGCCCCACAGTAGATGGCGAGGCGGCCACAACGACCGAGGAGCCGCCCCCAGCGGAAGATGTAAAGACGTTGAGCATGCTTTGGCACCGTGTGAATGTGCCCTTACCACCACCGCCGCCGCCGCCGCCACCGCCGCCACCGCCGCCGCCGCCGCCGTCGAAGGCTTCGAAGGTGTCGAAGGCGTCCCATCTAGTGCCACCTTCATTCCCAGCCCCTTCCTACCCGGGAGACCGAACTCAAATCGAAAAGCTGCCGCTATCGGCTCCCCGAGGGCAGGAGCAGCAGCAGCAGCCAACATTAACGTCGTCGTCGTCATCATTAGCAATCGCCGTATCGCCACCAATCCAGCTGCTAACAATGCTGCTGCCGCCCTCTCTACCGGCTCCTTCGCCGCCAGCAAGTCCCTCCGTGCCGCGGCGCCGTCAGTCGCCAATGTTGCTGCTGCCACCGTCGCCACTGCCGCCGCTGCCGCTGCCGCCACCGCCACTGCAGCCGTCGCCGCCGCAGCTGCCACAGCCGTTGCCGCAGCAGCAGTCGCATCCCTCGTTCCCTGCCACACCGCTGCCCGGCGAACCGCAAGTTCCGGCGCTGCAGGCGCCACTACCGCTGACAAGTGCAAAGGCGTCATTACAGCCAGGGATTCCGCTGAAGTCACCGACACAAAAGCTTCCGCCCTCTCCTGTACGGCAACGGTCTCCGCCCTTTCCT